AAGTATGAAGTATTTATCTACTAATTACTTTGTGTGATCCACAGGACTAACTACATGAGCGTACAATGCTGGACAATCTATTATTGAACTTTTACTTAAGCTTAATGTCACAAGTAGTGTGGTGGTACTGTGCTAGGTACTATCAAGAATCTGGTATACAGTTTTCCCAAAACTGAAACTTATTTTATAAATTTTATAGTTTAACCTATGGACGGATGGCATAAAATGTTTGTGCGGACAGGAGCCTTCATCTAAACAGGCCCAAGAAGAGTTGGAAATGTGGCTCAACGTTGACATCAAACTTAGACTTTTAGAACTAGAAAACGTTGAACTGCCTTCAACTAATCCAGTCGTTCCTCCTCCACCTCCCAACTTTGACTTTTGCTGATATTCGTTTTATTACGTTTGAAGTACGGAATATGACATGTATATTTTTCGTCATAATGTGAATGATATATAATAAAATGCAGCACATTTTATGCAAGTTAATTGTTATTTCTTGATTGGATTAGAAAGTTCGACAAAAAATTTCGTTATTAAAAAACTGCTAAATTACTAAATGTTAATACTGATTAAATGGGTATAGAAAATCTTGACAAGAAGTTCAACCGTAAATAACCCCTTTCGCTAATATATTAAATATTCGCAAGCTGTTAGTAAAATCTGCTCAACAGTTTTATTGAACATGACAGTTCTGACAGCACACAACAGGATAGGTCCACTCTCGGTAGGCACCGCTCTCTATAGCCCTCAACTTTTGCATGTCCGTGGTATATAACGGACAGCAACCGACGGCGCTCGCCTCCTGAAGCAGTAGGAACGGAAACGACGAAATATGTTTTTGCTTACTTCTATAAGAGGGCGGTAATTGCTAATGAACTTTCACAATAGCTTCCAAAGAAGTTTTGTTGTACCGCCTACCCTGAACACGGTGAGTGAACATTAATGAGCGATGCTGATATAATAATCAAAAATATGACATCTCGTTTTCATGGTAGAAGCAGTTACATAGATTTAAATGTAATGGAGGAAACGGACTGTCTTTATACAGTAAAAATGTCTATCTGATGTAACATGCTGGTTGATATAAGATTCAGGTGATATTTGATCGCCGCTGATATCTGGAAATTAAGAAAAAATCACATAGCCATGCAACTTGCTATAGCCTAGGTGCAGAGGCTAGTAACCCTGGCAACAATTATGCATTCATGTCGTAATCAATTCGAAGCGAGAATGACAAATATTTTTCATGGCAGAGGCTATTATATAGATTGGAATATAACTGTGGAAGCAAACTGTCTTGAAACAGAAGTCTTTGGTCAATTCTCAAGTGTGGCAGCCAGCGCTGTGTATTGAACAAAGAAAGTGTGATCGGGGACATAAGCAGCAGAAATTAGTTTGTCCTCCAAAAACTGCTGGTATATAAAGATTCAGCAAGCTTTGAGACAAGGCAGTCGCGGACATCCTCGACTGTAAACCCTTCTCAAAATTAAACGATCATACTTGCTCGGTTGCAACGGTTTGGTAAGAAAGAAAGAAACACATGCAACACTGATTTTCTTCCCAAATTTACGTGTCATTTTCACATGTTACAGTAGAATACCGAAAGCTGTATATATTGATTAGTAGAGAACAAAGAATATTGGCGAGTTTCAGCTGAAGCTGCTGCTTTCTCTATTCTAAAGAGAAAGACAAAAACGGCATGAAACGGTTTATTAATACACACAAATATGACCATTAATATGGTCAATCAGATGATCAGTCATGCAAATGACCATGTCCCTTTCTGTGTTGTGTATTAAAAACCGCTTTTTTGGTGTTTTTTAATACCATAACCAACGCACGAACGAAATTCTCTACTGCAAAGAAATAGTGGGTTATGAAAACGAATACGCAGATAAATGTCTTTTCCTTTATTTACATTACAAAAAGCACTGTGTAAAAAACTTGTACTGAGGCACCAAAAGTATTTTATTGAGGTAAAACTTATCATCGATTATAACCGGTACTTTTTGAAATAAGGTTTAAAGCAGTAAAATCACAGATTTTAAAATGTACATTATAAAAATTACTGTTATTTTTCTGTATAGTACCATGAAATACTATAGTTCATCAGAATTTGAGCTACGATCACCGTAAATGGGCGAACTGCTAAGAGCATCGGCGATGAACATTGCGCTTGGACCTTTCTTGTACTCTCTTCTGTGACGCCACACCAGAGAACTGAACGACGATCCACAGGTACCAATAAAATATCGCGCCTCCGACAAAACCATTATATCAACGATCGGTAAATGAGGATTATGGTGGACAACCTTAATATGGCATCACTATCGTCCAACTATCCTAAATACCGATGCAATTTACCTTCACTCCAGGCAGTAGCTTTTTGAATTCATCCAAAAACGGATTTTTGTCCGTTGCAATGTAAAGATTACTGATCGTTTCCTTTAGGACAATTTGACGGGTCAGATTTAACACCAAATCCTTTGAAGGTAGGCACATATCCTTCGTAAATTTTTTATGATAATCAAAGCCAACGCATTGATAGGATGCCATGAATTTAGGTGCCAATTCGGCATGATCACAAGCGTTTTTCTGTGAACAAAAATAAACATTAAAGTGAAAATATGTACACTTTAGTTTGGCAGTCGATCTTCGGAAGTAAATGAAAATTTATCGAATTTTTGAAAAGGTCGAAGCAGCTTTCTTCGTATTTTCTGCATTATGGTTTCTATTGGCGCTGCGTAGGTCAGCCATTAGGTGGATGTAGGCTAACAGTAGTTTAAAGAACACACTAGGAAGCATTGCAGTACGTTTCGTAAACTCTAGAACAGCTACACAAGCTACCCCGCTAACGTGGGGTTCCAATTGTTAGCAGTCAATTGGTATGTTACCTATTTCTCAGATTTGCGCTGCCCTTGGAAATTCCAATCGGCCCCTCTGGTACGAAGGGACTGATGACTTTCCACAGGACTACTGATCCTCCCCATCACCCCCC